ATTTGGGCTGTTACCAAGCAAATGAAATCAGTATCAACAAAATTCATCTTTGCAATCCAGACATAAGCTGCACCTGAATTGGCATTTAGATGTTTACACACTGTTTAATGCAGAACATGAATACATTTAACCTGCAGTTACAAATGCATAAATAATGTTTTGATATATGTAAGTCTCTTAATAAAACTTATAGTTTATTTAACTGTTGTAAAAAAATCAATATCACATTTGCATATGGTAATTTTTGGAGAAAAAAAGGCACTCTTCGTGTGAACTTGAGTATAAATATACACATTTTCTGCCCCCATGTCTTGAATTTGTGATCATTCTGAATGTATTTTAACACACTGAATCATGCAGTGAAAGATCGCACTGTAAATGCGCACGCGCACTAGACTTCACGTAATGCGTATACTCTGTAGGTGTTTTTAATGTTTTTTTGCGTCGTGAGAATATTGAGCAAAATAGCTCACTTGTCATGGTGTTACTTAACTATATCATGTTATGAATAAACGAAACATTTTGAATTTTACCTCAGTGTGTTTCTTCTGAGTTTATGTGTGCTGTTACGCTCATTTGTTCTGAAGTCTCGAGACAAAGAGAGTGAGCCTCAGCGCGACCTTGTATTCTGTATTCTGCTAACGTACTGCAATTCTCTCTGATGACGCAGTAACTTACCGCGGGGAAGAAAAAATCTTCGGTAATGAGACCAAAAATAACTAAGACCCATCGAATCCGAATTTAAGACATTTTAAGACTTTTTAAGGCCTTATATTAAGAAAACGTTATTTAAGACGTTTTAAGGACCCACGGACACCCTGTATTAATGTGATAGTTTATTACACAGGGTCAGCAGATCCACAAGACCGCAGTGCTTGTTGTCATTTTCACCGTTGTCAAGAGCCTGAAATACAGCACTTACAGAAAAAAAAAAACCTCTGGAAAATGTACAACCCAGTCCGTCAAAGTGATGGATAATGGTATTTGTGGCAAACCCCATTATTCATAAAATTTGTATGTTAGACATTACTTATACCACCATTCAAAAGTACAGAGTCAGTAAGATTTTGAAAACATTTTAGAAACAAGTCTCTCATTCTCACCAAGGCTGCCTTTATTTGACCAACAGAGTGAGCTTCAGCGCGAGCTTGTATTCTGTATTCTGCCAACTTACTTACCACGGGGAAGAAAAGACCTTCGGTCTGTCCAATGATTGTAAACAGTCATTAGGTCGGTCAGACTTAAGATATTTTAGCGGTAATGAGACCAAAAATAATTAAAACCCTTCGAATCCGAATTTAAGACTTTTTAAGGCCTTATATTAGGAAAACGTTATTTAAGAAATTTTAAGACTTTTTAAGGACCCGCGGACACCCTGTCATGAGCAACTATTTGGATACATGTTGGTAAGAAAAACAGTTTGCAGTTTTACACTTTCAGATAAACATATTTTACTATTTTTAATATTTATTTTCCCCTCGGACCGCAGGCCGGTCCCCACAATGTCAAAAGCGTCCGGTTTTACCAGGGGCGCGGGAATCCGGCTCCGCTCTGGTTGCCCGCCTGGGTTCTGGTTTGGCTGGAGCCTCACTGGCTCATTCCTCCAGCTCCGTCCTGGCTATCTGCTGGGGTTCCTGTATGGTTGTGGCCCTGCTGGTTCGTCCTGCCGGCCCCGCCTTGGCTTTCCACCCTGCCTGTTCCGCTCTTAGACCCTGGTCTACCTCTGTTCCCTGACCCCCTTCCTTGGCATGGTCCTGGCCCGCCATCCCTCCCCCTGGTCCGCCTCAATTCCACCTCCCTCCTGAACTTATGTTTTCTGGTGGAGTGTCTGGTATCCGCTCTGTAGAGGGGGGGGTAATGTCACAGTGTCTGGTTGTGGTGCCCTGGACTGGCCACTTGAGTGCGCTCTCCTGTTTCGTTGTTTTATGTGTTAAACTCCATTTCCCATAGTCCCTTGCTTTGTAAATCTGTTCTGATCATTAGCACCTGTTCATTAGTTCCGATCATGATCACCTGTTTATCATTTACTCATTATCCCTTCTCTATATACCATGCTCACTCTGTCTGTCATTGCTGCTAGATTGTATTTGTTTTCGGATGTTTGATGTTGTTTAGAGTTCACCGTGTTTTCTGTTCCTTGTGTTGGATTACCTTTTGCCACGTTTTTGTTCTGTTTATTTGTTACTTTGAATAAACTGCACATGGATCTATCCTTGTTTTCTCCTGGCATTCCGTGACAAAGACATCAGACTGCACACCAGTGCTGTCTCATTAGACTACATAACTGAGAGACGATAAGACAGACGAAAGGAGTCTGTAGATATTGTTTTTATTTAATGCTGAATTTTCGAATATGCCTTATGGCATCAAATGGGTCAGCAGTGCTGCTCTATTCATGTTTTTCGGTCTTTCTTCAGTACTGGGTCTGCTGTCAGCTGACTAAATGTTTTCAGATGTTGAACTGGATTTCATAACGGGGCGGGATCAAATCACTCCGAAACAGAAGACTGGAGAAAACAAGCCCAAAAGAGTTCTTAAACGTTCAAAGTATTTCGTAACAATTAACCTTTATTAGGGGATCAGCAAAATGGAAGGTGAGTTTATTTTTATAATAGTGAGTTATTTTCCCGATTCATTTTGTTAGGAATGTACATTTAGGCTATTTACTGCTCAGCTGAATCGAACTGAACGTGTGAGGCGATTTCAGCTTCATTTTGCGATATTTTTTAAAAATGTAAGTGTTATAATCGCGTTAATCATGAAACTGTCATCGACAGACGAACCGCAGATCGAATCTGCAGAAGATCGGAATCCCGGAGAGGTTCTGCACATTCGCTTTCAGAAAAACCCCAATCAAAAACTCAAATACCTGGAGGCTGAACCCAAAATACTAGGGGTGCGTGAACCTATATCACTTTACAGCTCAAATGCTGACAGACTTTTTTTTTTGTTTGCTTGTTTTGCTTATAAACTGGATGTGAAAATGACCACTATTCACTACAGAATAACTTTTTTTTGGGGGGGGGGAATTGATTAAGCTTATATACACTGCTGTTCTGAAGTTTTGGATCAGTAAGGTTTTTAATTTTATTGAGGTTTTTTATGCTCATCAAGGCTGCATTTATTTGATCAAAAATACAGAAAAAACTATGATATTGTGAAATATTACAGTCTAAAATAGCTCTTTTGTATGTGAATATATTTTAAAATGTAATTTATTCCTGTGATGCAAAACTGAATTTTCAGCATCATTACTCCAGTCTTCAGTGTCCCATGGTCTCAGAAATCATTCTTATATGCTGATTTAGGCTATTGGAGAAAAAGTTGTGCTGCCTAATATTTTTTTGGAACCTGTGATACTATATTACTTTATTCAAGATCTTTGATAAATACCAAGTTTAAAAGAACAGCATTTATTCTTAGAAATAAATTAGACATCTTTTGTAACAATATATTCACTACTGTTCAAAAGTTTGTGGTCAGTTTTGTTTTTAAAGAAATTAATATTTTATTATAAATTGAAAAAAGCTAATTGTTAGAATCTTATATTGTTAGATATGATTTGTGTTTTGAATAAATGCTGTTCTTTTTAACTTTTTATTCATCAAAGAATCCTGAAAAAGGTATCACAGGTTCCAAAAATATTAAGCTGCAAAAATGTTTCCAATGCATATAATAAATCCGCATATTGGAATGATTTCTGAATGATCATATGACACTAAAGACTGGAGAAATGGCTGGAGTAATGGCTGATCAAAACTCAGTTTAGCATCAGAGGAAGAAATTATATTTTAAAGTATATTAAAATAGGAAATAGTTATTTTAAATTGTAATAATATTTTGCAATATTACGGGGGTTTTTTTTCTGTATTTTTTTATCAAATAAATGCTGCCTAAGTGAGCATAAAAGAACTTAAAACATTAAAAAAAAAAAAAAACTGATCCCAAACTTTTGAAAGGCAGTGTGTATATTTTTTATAACAATGGTTTAATTACAAATATCATGGTTTAGTAAAAACAACTGTACATTTGTGCACAAATGCCATAGGCTAACAGAACTGTCCCTTCTCAAAAAAGAAAAATAGAAACCATCACATACATTCTAATGGTTTCCACTACAAATACCATTACAAACCATCAACCATTAAAAACATTTAAAAAATGGTTTCTCATTGTAGTGTGTTTTGGGACATGTTCCATTAGGATTTAGTGGTTTTAACAAGCTACAAATAGAAGGCAACCAATTACCAGTACAGACCCACAGGGACCATTACAGTTCCCATTAAAACCAATACTATTCCCATTATAACCAGTAAAATCATTGCAAATTCTGTGATGGTTTCTTTTCTTCTTTTTTTCCCAACAGGGGTGGTTAATGCTGTAAAACCATGGTTAATTATTGTAATGGCTTTGTGGTTTATTACAGGTAACGCAAATTGCGTTCGCTGTCTTTTTCACATTTATGGTTGTGGTGTTCTATGTGAATGGCATGGCCATGTATACAGATGTGGACATGGTCACTGGTGGCACCGCCTCGATGATCGTAAGTAGGCCTACATTTCACATTTAACGATAAGATAGTTTTGTTCATTTGACATTAGCTGGGTTTCCATCCACGTATTTTCATGCAAATTTTGGAATATCATATTAAAACACAAGATGGAAACTCCAAGGTGCGCATACATTTTAAAAATACACATAAAAATGTGCTCAGTTGAGTCAAATAATATTTTATTTTTAATATTTTTTTTTTTATCCGACTAGAAAACAAAACATGCACATAGGGGAACACTTTTATTAAATAAATTATTTGATGTGCATCAAAAAAGTCATGTGACTTTGCATCAACAGATCATGTAATTGAATAACTAAATTAATTGCACACCACAGTCCGTTTAAAGGGGTCATATGATGCGATTTCAAGTTTTCCTTTCTCTTTGGCGTGTTACAAGCTGATTGTGCATAGATAAGATCCCTGAAATTGCAAAGACTAAAGTCTCAAAACCAAAGAGATATTCTTTATCAAAGTTAAGACTCTGCCACGCCCCCCTAAAACGGCTCGTTCTAACACGCCCCCACATATCTACCTCACTATGTGGAAATATTTGCATAATGCTGCCCAAATGTGCACGAAAAGAAAGGCGTGGTTTCAGTAACCGCAGTTAGTGTTGATGCAGCCATGTCAGGGAGACGCTGTGTGTTTCTAGGCGAAAGCAAAAGCACTTTATTTGGCCTTTCGAAAGTAGATGCATTTAGGAATCTTTAAGATCACTTACAACAGAACAGCAATGCATTTTATGGACGACCGTTTCATGAACCTAGGAGAGGAGGTAATTCTGACTTTGCTATGACAATCTGG